GTAACGATTACAAAAGCTGATGTTTCGAGCGTTAGCCCTTCGTCGGAGCGAAAAGGGGAATTGTGGGTTGTGTGTGCTTTTTAAGGCAGAGAATGGAGTTACGTTATTGGGGGGAACATATATCTTATTAGACGTTTTGTTGTGTATTATCGCTGAGTATTTTTACGAGTTGTGCTTCGTCAAAATACAAATAACAATTTGATCATACAAATATGATTCAAATTGTCCGCCTTTTTTTTTTTCACTTCAATCCAATTCTTCTCTTGCGCTATGCGAGACAACCTGTCTTACCGGTACTCTAGAGTACAAATACCGCGTGATATTTGTACTCTACGAAGTATAGTTGGATAGAAATTGGCTAAAATCCAAATCCTACATCTACATGCATATTCTTCCATAAAAAAAGGTTTCTGGCATCTTACACGTAAAAATCATCATGATTGTTTTCCCTCACAAATCTTGATTTAAAAGAAGGCAAAAGATAAATCGCCCAAAAAACGAAAGACTTATTTATAAATAAAAGAGATCACACGCGCCTCTATAAAATGAAATTAAACTCTACCAACCGACACAATATTTAAAAGAAAATTATTCTACTTATTGCTACTAAAAAATTTTGCGTGTTGCTGTTCTACCGTCGAGACGCTTTAAACAGCAAAGAATTCTTCAGATTGGTGTGTCAACATGAGCGTGAACAGAGAGTCGGCAAGATGATATAACATCCAAAAATCGCACTCGATTTGAGTGGGCCGATGAAGTGGGCGTGGTCACGAAATTCAGTAAGAGACTGTTTGTACCCCGTGAGTTTGATATGAAAAAAGATCAAGTATGGATCACAAACCTCTTCAAGATCTCTGAAGTGATCCTGTTAAACCTCTTGATATCCTCAGTCCAGCTTCTGTTAGGATCTTACGCACTTAGCTTGCTCACCCGGGATGTGAGGGAAATCATTGAGGCATATTGATCAAGAAAGCCCCAGGAAATGATTCATTAGAGAGATTTAGCACCGCCTTTAAGTGAAACGTGAACGACGAAAGACCACGTGACCTTGCTGTTCCCACCATTTTTTCCCATTTGTCGGTTGTGCTTTGCTGTTTCTACGTGAAAGTAACCTGTTTCGCGTTTGTCGTCTATGTAAGATTAGCTTAACTTTTTTTCTTATCGAGAAATTATCGCCGGATAAAGGCCATCAAAAATATTCCTTGTAACTCATGTATGGCCGCCTTCAAATATACCATGACGTTAGCGTAAGCGAAGCTAAAGTAGCAAGGTCCACGCTATTTTACGTGAAATGTGAAAGGACAAGCTGAAGTTTGCCGTTTTTCGTAAACGCGGTGCTAAATCTCTCCGTTAAAAGAGGGTCGCAACAGAGTAATGGCTTTTACGGCTAATGGTTAATTTTTTTGCAAAGTTACGCGTAACTGTTAATATGTTGTCACTAGCAACTTTTTTAAGGCGTCCTCTTTTTATGGCTAACGGTCAGAATCGGCCAATTCTTATAATTACGCCAAACGGACAATATTTTTGGCCGTTTTACGTCTATCGGTCAACCTCATTGAGACCCTCTCAAAAGCTCAGTCATCAAAAGCTACACTGGACCTACAGCTGGACCTATAGCTGGACCTACAGCTGGACCTACGGCTGGATATTATCCGCCTTTTGGCGTTTACATTTGAGAGAGACAACTACCAAGAAACTGGTTACAATTGATCTTTGTGAAAATTCCTAAGAAAATAACCTGAGAAACTGTAACAGTATGGGAGAGGTGTGGAGAGGGGTTGGGATTCTTTCAGTGTTCTACATGGTGACAGGGACGAGAATAGGCCAAATGGCTTGGTTTTCTGTCTTTTTTTTTTCTTTTAGAACCATAAAGCTCTAACTCAATAATAACTCATGATCACTGAAAAGCAGATTGTATTTTTAAAGTTTATTCCTTTTATTTCATAGGCGCATCATAAATATTTATATTTCTAAGCGGATTATGCATGTCATAGAATATCGATTCGCCTGCCATCTTATCACTGATAGTAATGATAATTTGGTCTAACATAATATTAATATTCGTTATAATTATTGTTATTATTATAGTTATTAATTTTTAGGACAGACTCTAGTCTTTATTTGCTTCTTTCGGGTGATTATCAAACAATGATAAAGAAAGGCAAAATTGTTCCCTTGGTTTAAATTGTACTCAAAATCAGACTGAACTGTTAGAAACGCCTATGGATCTATGTTTTAACTTGTTCTAAGCCCTCACTCAGGGAAGTGAAACGACTTCCACAAGTAAGTCGGTAGTCCCTTGCCACTTGCTCTGAGGAAAATCAGACAAAATATATCCTATGCTATTCGAATTAGTTCGCGTTTTTGCGTGAGGTTATGTAAGTATTGGGTGACGCCGACAGCTATGTATTTTCGCCAGTATGCTCGTTGTTTCCGTTGGAAAATTTTCATTGCTAACTGATCCCTACTAAGTCAGTCGCTTCATTAGGTTTTTTCAGCGCCTTGATGCTTTATGTAAGAGTTTAACTGCCGGTCCTGGTGACGACACAATTATAAGTTCGTTTCTTTTGTTTTAGTTTTCTGTCGTTGTTGCTGTTGTTGTTATTGTTATGCTTTGTACTTAGATATTGTATTAATTCTTTATTTTAGTAGAATCACACGCACATATGTATCTACAAATCTTTACATATTAATAGACGTCCATCTGGCAAATAAATTAAACGCAACTTCCCTTTGTAACATTTAACGTGTAGGTATTTATCTACAACACTCTTCTGGCTTTTGGGACATTCATGTCATTGAGTTTTGTCAGTCGATCTGGTATGATCCTCCAGACGGAATTAACTTTTGTACATAATCAGGATTATATTTCTCTGTGTAAGGAGGTTCTTTGCTTGGTACCAAATGTGACTCGCTGGTGGGCGCGAGACAACCGACATCCTCCATATACATCTCAGTTCATTTTCTCTTGATATTCAGTGGTATGTAAAATAATTTTATGCGCTACTCTCACCTTGGTGAGTCTCAAGGCAGTTTTGTATGTTGACGTAATTCTGAAAAAGAGAACAACAGTAGAAATTTTGAATCAGGTGCGCAAGGAAACCTTCTCACAGCGTCTTTCGAAGACCTTCTTCAGTGCTTATAGGATATGCCTAAAACAGGGACCAGCTCAAATTCGCAAGAAATTACGTCGTGCTGACGACATGTCACGGATGCCTCAGACACCTATTTATCATTAAAAAAGGTGGTTTCCACTTTTTGCTATTTGCATGCTAGTCTCCACTAGCTTGTGTTCTTGAATACGAAAATGACCCCATCCTTAGCACGAACACAATCATCGGCACTGACTCAATACAAAAAACTGAAATAGTTTTGTGGACCTTCAATAACGAACGGTATTTGCAGAAGAATTCTGACCTGATTAGAACAGTTTTCTAATCCTCGGATGGAAGAGCACAAGAGCTCGAATGATGGTCTTCTTTCTGGCTCTGTTTCCCAACAACTCAACATGACATCATATCTGAAGAAGTCCAGGATTTTCCATGGTTAGCACTCAGAGAATAAAACATTATCATAGGCGTTAAAAGTTTAAAATGAACAGGATGTCGATAGACCCTAGGTCTTGCGTATCAAACTGAATGTAAATGCATAACAATTACATAATAATTACATAATAATATCATAATAATTACATAATAATTACATAATAATTACATAGTAATTACATGACAGTTTGAGCGGAGGCGGAGGGAAAGCTTTGAGTTTTGCTCGGCACTTGGTTTACTTTCTGCAAAATTCTTTAATTTCAACTAGAGGTTGACAAGGTTGAAGTCTTAGCTCTGCATTTTTTAGAGTTCAGTTGAATTGCGATATAGTATATTACGGGTCAACTAAGAGTATTCAGTGAAACACATTTTTATCACCAAGGTAATAATGGTTACTGTTAGGGGCTGGGCACTACTTACAACTCATCCTTAAAATACTCTGGTTTTGGAATCCTGTATCCTTCTTGTAATACTCTTGGAATATCATACGGACTTGTTTCTGGATAAGGTTCAGCGCCTAAATTTTTTCAAGAATTAGAAATGACAGCCACAGTAATGCAGCGGCTAATGATTGTCTTGAATTTACTTGGGAATATTCCTAGATTGATAGAAGAGAAAATTACGAGTTCCTGGTTTGAGTGACAAGCTAGCTCAGATTGACAGAAAGCTGCAATATTTAAATGCTATCGCGATTGAGAAAGAAATTTAAGCCATTGCGTTTGAATATGTGAACATGTGTTTTTCGTCCTTATGCCAACTCTGACCGACATCATTAGAGATTACTTATCTCTTTTTCCTGGTCTGCCAAAACTATTGACGGCTTATGGTTTTCTCTACTTCCCACGGAGGGCTGAAAGTTAATGACGTATCCTCCAGAGTTTAATCAGTGCCCTTCCTGGCAGATCAGTGATATTTATGCTATGCATACTTTAACCTTTTTTCAGTGCGCTATGAGGGCAATATAAAGGACCTACCAATGGTGCAAATCTCATATAGAACGATTCCAAAACTCCACCTGCAGATTAGAAAGGGATAAAACGTTCTATATTTACTCTAGATTCTAGGTTTCCTCGCCATATTCTACTGAGCTACCATTAGAACTGCATCTCTCCTACTTTAGTAGTAAGATGTTCTGATTTTACTTTTGCGATTTTCGACAGAGGAGTTAGGCGTTTCAAGTTTTTGATTTATCCTCATTTAATTAACTTACACATCGCTTTTTGTTGAGTATTTCATCCTTCCAGTAATTGCTTCAATTGCTGTCCATTTAACAGGAACTCGGCCCTGTAGAGATAGAAGTTTATGGAGAAAAACCTCTATTTATCTGATTATATATTTGGTATTCTGATTATATATTTGGTTATCCCCTTTTGAAATGAATGGGCAATTTTTGGTCTGCTTCTTTTGCTTCTTTAATCTTCTTCTTTCATCTTCTGCTTTTTTTTTTCAGTAATGATCGGATTTCAAATAGCAGTAACATCTAGGACATAAAAAGATTTTAGTAGCCCCATCGGTCAAAAATGTTACTTGATAACTGAAAACCATTGGTATAAAAGAAGATAGAGGAAAGCAAACGTGTGATATTCTAATCAATACATCGATCCCTAACTTCACGCTTTCATTATCTTAAAGATCTGGGCCCAGTTGTATGAAGGACGCATAATGTTATCCAAGGGATAATCTCTTTCCAGCGGATAAGTAATAGCAAAACGTGAATCACTATCCACTAGATAAGGACTTTTCCAATGGATAGCGGTATACAACCTTCAAACAAGTGGGACCTGAGCCATGACAGGTGTCCATTATCAGAACAAAATGGGCAGGGTAAATCCTGAGAACATAACATAACAACTCTATTTTAGTGTCGATGTCTTTAGCTTACAAGCTAACTGTGGACACTAAAATTCTAAAATGAGTTATAAAATGGTATCATAAGGTAAATTCATAGTAATTCACTCAAATCTAAAATTTAGAAAAAGTTAAAATTTGAAAGTTAATAATTACAGAGTTATTCCCACCAAAATGTACGAAAGATGCTACGAATATTTCTCAAAAATTCTCAATAACAAATAAGACAGGAGCTACAATTGTTACTTAGAAGATCTACAAGGATAATACGCCTTATGTTGGACTTAAAGGATTGTCCTTGATATTGTCGTCCAATCTAAACTATATGTATATGGTCCAAAGTACTATAAAGAATGTTTCCTGTAATTTACAAAGTAAAATATGGAAGAATGAAAATCCTTATTTCTGAAGTGAGAAAAGAAACTACCTGACTGCTGCGTATATAAATGTCTTCCGAATCAGCATCGCGAGCCATTCCAAAGTCTGTAATCTTACATCTGTGATTTTCACCAACCAATACATTCCTTGCCGCTAGGTCTCTATGAATAATCTATTGATAGTAAAAAAAAAAAGAAAATTAATGATATCAGGGATACAAGAAAATTGTATCATAGTAATAATAGTTAGACAGGTAAAAACAAGCCATATCAAGGGTACAAATGAAAATAAAATTAACAATGCGAGTTCAAGAATTACAACTAATTTACAAGGGGGAGGTAGCTACACAAATACTTTAGCACGGATAGAATCCATTTACACGTTCAAACTCGGTGTTAATTGTTTGATGTAAAGCATCTCGTTGACAAGACAATCGAATTTGTTCATGCACCTCTTGAGAACTTTGAAACAGCAAAGAAGGTCCTCTGGGACAGCAACTGCGTGGTCGTTGTCGTAGTGCTTGCATACTGGAGACGACGTGCTCTTATGGCTATCCACGCGGGCATATAAATGTCCGCGTGTGTAACCAACATAGCTCCCTGTATCACACAGGTTACATTTAAATTGGTACACTACGCACTGTTGATTAACCAGCTGTGGTTTGGTCTCACATTCTTTAAGGTCTTGGCCAATTTTCCGACTGACAAACACGGGATGGATTGTGGTTTGGAGCTTAATGCTAAGGTCTTTCAACTTTGCGAACAGGACCTGCGTGGTCGTTGTCGTAGTGCTTGCGTACTGAAGATGACGTGCTCTTATGGCTATCCACGCGGGCATATAAATTAACTACGGATTTCCTACCCACCCTGAACCACGCCCATCCCTCTGTCAGCTTTACAATAGAAATAGAAAAAGATGGCATGCTCCCCTTTCTTGGCACGCAGTTCCTAAACC